GAGAAGGAGGAGGGCCGTACCGGAAACCTGCTGGATCTGCAGAAACCAACGAAGAACCAGTATTGATCACACAAGACGACCTGATAATATCAACACGCATCTATTGCTGTATTGGCTTTGCTACAAAAGCAAAGGTATGTGCGTTTTTTTTTTTCATCTTTTGCAAAAAAAAATCTTGTTGATCAAAACCTGTTTTCCAGTCATTATCGGGACTCTTGAGTGTGTTATATTGCTGCATGATTGGAGAATATGGTTGTATCTCTTGGCCTGGTTCCTCTGGCAGTGTAGTGACTTTTACGGGGACAGACCAGCCCACCAGACCTAGATAGGGCACGTCAGCTATAGGAAGAGAAGAACGAAAGCCTCCCTTCCTGCTCTTCTTCACCAGAAACGAACGAGGCATGATGAACAGAGAGGGCTTGAACCAGTGGCAGGGAAGACTAAAAATGGAGATAGGAAAATATACAGGGAGATGATGCATTTTAATAGCATTTTAAATCTCACTTAACCAAATTTTGATTGGACAAATATATGGAAAATTAAACGTGCCCCCCTCCCCCAATCTATAGAGGAAAGCACAGATTCTGTTATATTACCTATAGGCTATTGCTTGGCATGATCAGCTCTGATTCTGCATATTTTGCAAGCACAGCCTTCATGAGGGCAAAGATTCATTTCCCAAATAAAAGGATAAAGAATAATAAATAACAAAAGAAATATGAACACAAGATAATTAACGTTGTCATCTTGCAAGTCAGACTCTCAACTGCTAACCAGCGACTACATGACGGCGCTTTTCTGTTGAAACACTAGACTTCTCATTATTCACAATCACTTTAAGAAATGAATTAGATGTTATGTTGAGCTTTAGCTGAGGGGAACTCCATTCAAATATGAAGATAGGAATTTCTGAATTTAAATCAACTCATTTTATGATGTAAAAGAGACATATGTTAAAACAATAATTACATTTTAAATATTGGGGTCATTTTCTGATCATTTTTTTAATATTATATTGTTTTTATATTTTTATATATTGCTATCGAGTTGTTATTATTTTTAAAATAACTCCTTAATGGCTGTATCTGTGTATCTAAAATATATATTTAACAGCATAATAAGTTAAATTTAATAGATGAATTGAAGTTACATCATATCGCCTTAGAGTTTATTAAACGCTCACACTGTACGTTGAATTTAAACGGTGATGATAATTGTTGTGATAAATCACTTATAGGTATATCCTTCGACATCATGAGATATATATATATATATATATTTAATTACTCACTGATTCTTGAGTACTGGGACAAAAGCAGCCTCCAAAACCTAAAACAAACATTAAATAATTGTATAAAGTTTGAAAAATAAAATATACATTCCTTCAATGAATGAATGAATAAAGACTACAGTGGTTATTTTATCTATATTGAATCACTACAGATAGAAAATATTTTGCTGCTGTTGTTGATTAAATATATCACAAATTAATGTATTAAAGCCAAGTAGAAGCCATTTTGTGTTTCTGGTATTGCACTAATGGAAGAAAAAGATTTGTGATTAGCCTACTTCAAATTATTAATGTTGAACATCAACCTCAACTTATCTGTAACTTTGGTTTAACTCGTAGTGAATATGCAAAAATAATCTTCAGGATGAAGATATTGATATTACAGCCTATACATCTGAAAAATGTTTACATTAAGATCTGCAAAACAAAACCCCAACGGCCTAATATATTAACCCCTTCCATCCAGGGAACCGTAGTAGGCTATTTATTTTTTAAGATTAATATAGCCTATGATTTAAGTATTATCAAAATGTAACGACACGACTATATGTATCTATCAGGCTAACATAACATAAAACATAATAAATCCTGAACCTAATTTCAAATAAAAAAATTTTGTTTTGTGGTATTTTCAAAAAATATCCTCCGGTTTACTGCCACTGGTGCCATACGAACTTATCTGTAACTTAAACTTATCTTAAATAAATTGTCAGGACTTACCAGTAGATGCGACCAGAGCAGCCAATAGTTTTTTCGAGGTCTTTCTATAATAAAATGCGGTATAATTCTCACTTGTATCTTGGCTAACTGTATTTATTTCAAAGAGATTACGCCGACCAACGGCGTCGTGTGTGTGTGTGTCTTTCACCAGCACCAGCAGTAATAAATCACTGAGGACAGGTGCGCGCGTTCCTTAAAGCGCAGCAAAACTGAAACTTCGCGAGGTAACGCGCGCTCACAGCACGGGCCGACCACAGACGCGTCAGTTTCCGCCGCGCGCTCTGCCTCGAGCTCTACAAACCCGACTGAGACTGCTTCTGCAGTGCGAAGGAAATTTACCAGCAAAATAAATCAGGGTGCTCTGAAAGAGAAGAAAACGCCTTCTGTTGCATACATCTGAAATGTAGTTATTTTGTTCAGCTGTGCATGGATGTGACTAATAAAAATCACTTTTGAGTTGCAAAAATTCTGCAGTAGTCATTCATTGCT